TATATATATTTATATATATGGTATTTAAGAAGTTCGTGTTAAGTCATTATGCTCCCGAGAGTTACTGATTTTTATTGCCACATTTCGTATGTCTTGCATCTTTTCATATACTTAAAATTTTTTTCATTGTTGGATCCACCCAACAAGGTGGCTAGTCGGTCGGCTAGGGTGGCTAGCCGAATGATACGAACGACATATTTATTCTACTATCAATTTTTTTGTGACATACACTATTAATTTCTATGTGAGTTATTATATTTGCATTAAATTTTCATGTGATGTAAAATTAGTAAGTCATTATCTGCCTTCTTGACCAGTCCACCATACAATAATAATTTAAATTTATATTAACAATAAATAAATTCACTTGTTATTTTATAAAATAAAATTCTTATCTCATCACCATTGTATAAATATTTTGTATTTATAATAAATTGTTTTCTTTTAAATTGAATGTCTAAGTCTTCTTCCCAGTTAAAACTGCACAGTTGTTTTTGTCGTGACTCTGGCTTGTGGTTAATGGAGTCCTATCATGCGCGGATGCCGTGTGGACCTTTCCACGAGCTGCCGCACGGAAATTGAAGTAGATTTACTTTACATTCCCTGGCCTCTGAAATCTTCCCTACACATCGTCAAGATGTCAACTTTCTCTTCCCTTCTCCATCCATGTCATCCCAATCCACTCTTTCTATAAAAAAGCCAAGAACTTGCCACCAAATCTTCCCATTCCTTACGACACCATAGAGACAAAACAACAAATTCCAATCCAGAGAAAGAGAAAACCAAATACAGTCATGGCTGATGAGTTCCATGGCCTCAGCGGAAGCTGGTGGAGTTCCATGAGATGCAGCAGCGTCAAAGAGCCGCAGGATTTGTGCTTCGGATGGGCGCAATCGTTGGCGGCTGACGGAATCGCGGGCTGCTCCTTCGACAACTCTCCGGCAAGCTGTGTAACTTTTCAGGGCATCCCAGCCATGGATTCTTCTTGTCAGCTTTCGATTTCTGATCTATCGCCTTCTTCAGTTGATCAGTGGGCTCAATCCTTCATGTAGTACTGTTGCCCATTAATTAATCCGATCTGGTTCTCTTTTAAGATATGTTTGGTTGGAAATATATATGATATGAGAAAATCTAATTTTATGAAATTCTATCGTGTTGAATTTTGTACATCGTTGGTAGTCCTCAACCAAAAGGGTTGTTTGTTTGCTCAAGTTAGTAAATTTAAGCTGAATTTAATCAAATAATACTTTAAATCATGTAAATATAATTTAATAAATCCGGATGAAATAAGGATTTGTACATATAAACTTTGTTTTTTTTGTTGCAGTGCTGAAGGCTCCGATGAACCATATGCTAATCTGAAAGATACAAGCCAAGGCTTTTTAACTATAGATCCGAGTTCTTCAGAGTCCGCCATGACAAATCTCCCAGTTCTTTCGCCTTCTGGATTTTCCCTTCTCGATAATCTTCTTGCATTTGAAGCTAGACCTCACCAGCAAGACAACTCAGGCAAAAATACAAGTTCTGATTTCTGTTCTTTAGTTGAGCCCTTGCAGTTTATGGACGCTGGATTTGAGGAAAAATCTTATCTCAATAAATCTGAGGTAAATATAAACTTTGTTGTTATAATTCGCTTAATTTATTCATTGCTAATGTTATGTTTAATGATTTTTGTTGTTGTTTCAATTTATAAGCTTAACTCAGAAGAGAATACAAGTTCAAGTAACTCATCAAGATCAAAGAAGCCTAGAATTGCCACGCCATCTCCATTGCCAACCTTTAAGGTAAAGTTTGATCAAAAGACTTAATATATAATAGTGTTCTATGATTACTTTTTCTTTTTCTTTTTTTCTGAATTTATGCAAAAACTTTTGTTATGCATGCTTATTAGGTAAGGAAAGAGAAGCTTGGCGACAGAGTTACTGCACTTCAGCAGCTGGTGTCTCCTTTTGGAAAGGTAAAGGAATTTTCATATCCAAAGGCATAGTTTTGGTTCTTCTTTTAAATTAGCAGTTTAATTTTACATATTTTACATATATATATATATATATCAACATAGCCTACAAATAATAAATTAGTTAATAATTAGTATTTATAAGTGATATTCTAAATTGTTTTTAATAAATATTTTATTATATGTAAATTTGGCACAATAAGTATAATTAAGAATTTAAAATAACAAACCGATTTAAAGCAAAAAGTTTTTTTGGGCCAGCACTCACCTAATAAACTCTCTCATTTCTTGGAAACTTAAAGAGCTCAAAATCTCTTATGTTGATCATTATTTAAATTTGCTTAGAACCAAAATTGGGATTAATTTTGTTTTTTTTTTTTTTTTACTTTTATGTTTTTGCTTCTACTTTCAAAAGTAATTTTGTCTATTACATTTTTTTGCATGTTTAGTCTATCTAATTTTTAAATGTAAATCAACTTATTCTTAAGAGCACTCAAACTATTTTTAGATATTGTGAGTATTTAACAACAACAATTACCTACAAACTTATTTTATTCCAAATCAATATACAAACAAAAATAAAATATAAATCACCCCAAATGGCTTTTTTTGTTCTAATTAATATATATATCTAATTTTTTTTGTTTATCCTCTCCAGACTGACACTGCTTCTGTTCTGCAAGAGGCCATTGAGTACATCAAGTTCCTCCATGATCAAGTCAGGGTTAGTAATGCCATTCTCATGCAATATAAACAACTATATATCTGTGCAAAAGATGAGAAAAAAATAAAAAAAAATTGAAGTCATTTGCAAGCATAACACTTTCTTTTAAACATCCAGACACTAAGCAGTCCATATTTAAGAACTGGGAGCCAAATAAATCAGCAACAGGTAATTCAATCTCACCCATACTTTCAAATCAGTATCTGAGCTATTAATCTTCCATCAAAAATTTTGATAAATTTATACAGAACTCAGAGAGATCAAAAGACAGCGAAGGCAGAAAGCAGCAACTAAGAAGCCGAGGACTTTGTCTTGTTCCCATCTCAAGCACATTCGCAGTGGCCTGCAGTAACATCCCACCGATTGATTTCTGGACTCCTCCATTTGGTATGTTCAGTTATACATGAGCATGCACGAAGAAGGAGCAAGTTTGAAGAGACTGCAGAAAATGGTTAGTATTACTAGTTTCTTAGATGAGAAAAAGGAAGAAGAAGGTTCGAGAAGACAAGAAATCATGTGGCAGCCAGCCCACCGGCATTTAATTTCATGGTATTTTTTATGAACAAAGCTTTTCGAACTAGCAAAAATAATATATTTGATGACATTATTATATATTGTAGAGATTTGATTATTTTTAAAGTAGTTTTTGAGCAATTTCAATTTTTTTGTGACAAAACATAAGAAAAATGTTCAAATTTTATTTGTTAAAGATTGTTTTTTCCTGTAAATGTTTTTTTATTGATTTCAGAAATTGTACAGTAATAAAAGAAACATATAGAGTCAACTATCATGAACTAAAACAAATATTTGGGTTTAAATACAAAATGTTCATAAAAATAAAATGAACAATTGAATCTTTTGGAGCATAAATACCCCATTGTTTTAAATAATAATGATAATTAAAAAAACAAAGAGAGAGAAAGAGAGAGAGAGATAGTTTAGAAGAAGTCTTCAATCAAAGAAATGATCAATCCCAGTTATACTTCTGATAGCAACTTAAAGTATGAAGTAAAGATTACGAAGCATGATATTTTAATGCAAACATGCTTCTTGCATCATTCCCTATGCAAAGAAAGGACCTATTTGCAATCACAACCTGATGGCTCATAATTGTTTTATTTTTCTCTTCAAGCCCAAGTTAAGACAAGAAAAGGCCACAATTTAATTCCTTATTAAAAAACATAGGTATCAGAGCTTTGGAGGATAGGGTTATGAACATTATCAACATCATGCACCATGGAGATTCCTACATTAGTAATAATAAATGGAGTTATTGACTTAGCATGAGTAGGATAGATGTGGATGGAAAGAGTAACTTTCAAAGCTAAATCATGATAAATACCAACACTATAAATTTATTTAGTAACAACACATTAAGTGATTTAAACTTTAAGATTTTAATTAAGACCAGAATGAAGAAGAGCAATGGCTCCCACCAGAGAAACATGGTTGGCTCTTGCACAGAAGAAGTAAATCAAATCTATTATAAATGTTGGAATTGACCGAGTTTATGACAGTTTATCACTGATTTCTACATGCTCTTAGATGACCGTGTTCGCATTATTATTATTATTATTATTATTATTATTATTATTATTATTATTATTATTATTATTATTATTATTATTATTATTATTATTATTATTATTATTATTATTATTATTATTATTATTATTATTATTATTATTATTATTATTATTATCACTAGTTTGTTGTTTGATTTTTTAAATTAGGATGAAGTTTAAAGCTTGATTCAAAAATATGACAATGAATTTGGCAATGTAGTAAGATTTAAGACTTAGTACCTGTAGTTAGTATCCATTTGTTTTTCAAATCTCTTCTATACTACAATTACAAAATCATTTAATATATCCAACTCCACTAACACTTCATCAACAAATGGCTTAGAAAGTGAGATCGAAACTAGAACAATGTTTGAGAGGGAGGCACAAAGATATCCAACAAAGAGAAGTGTGTATTTTTATTCATAAATTATTAAGCGGGGAAAAGTGATCCTTATTAGAATGAGGGGGGTTAAAATTTCCATTAAATTATAGGGATCAATTAATAATGCATGCCATGAAGCAAATTATAGAAAAAAATTATCTTGATAAAAATTATGAATAATTATCTTCAATAAAGAGGTTATTTAGGATATGCTTCTAAGCTCCACATTTACAATATATTTCAACCTCAAATTAATGAAACATTTCAAATTGTGTTTGAAGGAGTGTGACCAAATTGAATTTGTCAACCAATGCATGTTCAAATGATGCTGCAAGCATAAATTTCTTTTCAAGAAAAAGTGAAAGTTTCTCTGTCTGAATATTGAGAATAATTTAATATCAAGAGAAGAAGTGGAAGCATAATTTTCAAAAAAAAAACATCTTTGAAAGAAAGACAAGGTCTAGTGTTGTAGATGAGACTGTCACCAGAATCAATTATCTGAAATGAAATATTATAAGTGAAGCTCTAAGAATACAAGAATACATGAGTGGTTTTTAAAATTAAAATAAATTACTTTATTTTCTCACAGTAGATTGATAATAGAATTTGGAAAACTATATATAGGTGTAAGTGGATAAGAAAAAGCTACATGGAATAAATAAATTAAATATAAAAAAAATAAAATATGATATAGTTGTGTTGCTGACATATAGCAAATTAGGGTAAGCTACCTCCTTAAGATGGATTGTATTTAATTTTTATATCGATCTTGGATAATAATTTAGATAAAGTTCCTTGTGACAGAGCCTTGGTGAACAACTTTGTGATCTAATGCTTTGTCCGACTGTGCATAAGCTTTATGAGGTCATCATTCACTTTTTCACAGACAAAATGGCAGTCAATTTTGATATATTTGCATGATTTGCTCTTAAAATGATGGATTAATAATGATATGTGTGGCAGCTTGATTATCACAAAATAATAATACAGTGGAAGGAAGAAAAAGATGAAATTTAGTAACTGAGTGAGCCATATGAGCTCACTGATTATTCATGCTACATCTCTATATTATGATTAGGCAAAAGATCAATCTAGAGACAGTAGGTTGCTTCTCTTCTTTCAAAGAAATAAAAGAGCCACCTAAAAAAATACTAAAGCCAGAAATGGGCTTTCTAGTTTCTAAGCAAGATACCCAATCAGAGTACTCTGAGAAAGTCTTTAGTTGAATCTTAGAATTCAAAATTTTGGAAAGATATATTTCGTGTCCCCTTAAGGTATCTAAGGAGAAGTTGAGCTGTTCTCAATTGGGTAACGAATTGGTTAAGTTTGCGAATGGAAGAAAGTTATTTCAAATTGTGATGATCTGAGATATATCAAGCGAGCAATGAGGCACACGTATTGAAAATTATCAAAGAGAGGGTCACCATCAGAGCTATGGAATTGAATTATTGGATCCATAGGAATGCTAGCAAGCTTACTTCCAAGAAAGTTAGTGTCTTCTAAAATTTAGAAAGCATAATGACATTTGATGAGACAATCCTAGTGTGTGACCAAGCGATTTTGAGATCAAGAAAACACTTTAAAATTCTTAGGTCCTTGAGACTAAATTTGTTGGGAAGAAAAGTTTTTTTTGCAATCAATAGCTTGAGTTGAGAGTTTTGCAAGGATGATTCTTCAACATAAACTAAGACAACCATAACGGTGGTTTCAGTTCTTTTATAAGTAAATATTAATTAGAATTAGATATCTCTAAGCTAAAGTTAATGAGAAATTGAGAAAGTTTTAAAGATCATTATCGAGGTTCTTGTTTGAGAATGTGGATAGATTTATTAAGATAACAAATGAGTTTGTCGTTTTGTTGTGTTTTTTTCTTCTTGTTATGATAAACCATGGATATTTTCGTACATGCTTTTCTAGATAAATCACCAATGAGGAAAGTATTGTTTATGTTGTTGCATACGATTTATTGATAGCAACAAAACAAAATACACTACAACACTTTAGCTAATTTGAGTTGGTCAAATCAGACGCAAATCGAACGTAAATCCGATGATGTTTGAGAATCACCGTTTGTGTCAGATTTACTTTCATTTTTTTTTCTGAGGGTAATTTGGGGGTCGTTAATGTTAATTATGTCAATGTTGCTTCGAAATATTTCGACACAAATTATTAGCGTCGATTTTTGCGTCGTCATAGTGTCGAGCTTGTGTGGCCTACATGTGTGTTGAATTTTGCATCTAAAAATATCAGATGATAAATAATACCATCTGATTACTATCAGATTTGTGTCAGACCTAGTTTTATGGACCACGCAACAGATTTTCAGACAAACAGACATAAAACTCAAATATAGAAAAAAAATCAAAGAATCAATTACATTTTCACAACATGTACACAACATTCACTCTACATCAAAGCAACATTATAACCAGCTATATCACGGATCAAAGCTCTTAAAAATATCAAAACTGAAAAATGAGAAACTGTCACAAATTTAAATTATCAAAAATTTACATATACATCCTGATCAATATAAGTTCAAACATTTCATAAATTTAAAATACATAAAAACTCCTAATCCTTTTCCTCATCCTCCTCCTCGACTACAATAGTCATCGTTCTCTTACCCCAACGATCTTCTATAATCTCCGTCAGACGTGTTATACTCCACTCAATTCACTATTGGCCTTCACGTAGATGTCGAACCTCCTTAGTCATAGTTGCGACCCTCATGGCAAGCTCCGCAGTACTCGGGTGTGACGAGCTCGTGCCACCCACAGAAGCACGAGAGATCTCGTCTTCTTCTTTCCCGCCGCCTGCGTCCATAGCTCGAAATTAGATTGCGCAGTGGTAAACTGACTACTGCTACTGTTGGCAGTGCTCAGAGTTTGGAAGGGCCACTGTCTCTCTTGGAGCTGCTTGTACTCCTCCTGCATAGTGAAATTCAATAATTAATTATCATTTTAAATATTAAGAGTAAAAAATATAGAAAATTTAATTTCTAATCACCAGCACCACTTATGGGCACGGACTAATAACAAAAATAATTAGGAGCGGTACACATAAGTAAAAGAAGGAATGTAAAAATTCTAAATGAAAAACATATCATAACTATTTCTAAAATAAAAAAAAATAAGACAAGTGTGACGCACATAGCAAAATCAAACAAAAAGTTCATGATTATATTTGTTAAGAAAATTGGACTAGGAGATCATAAAAATGCCTCCATAATATTCTATGAAAGATTTTTGCTTAGAATGACTTGAACGAAGTTAAATTAAATTCTTGGCAGGTTGTTGAAAGTTAAAAACCTTAGATTATTTTTTTTTTGACTCTAACTATTAAAGTGTCAATCAAATGCTAGTTTTCATTATGCAAGAATTTCAACAAGGGTTAGTCTCTTTTATTAAAATTGCTACCTGATTGAATGTTTCTCTGTGCATGTTAAATTAGATTTGTTGATTAGCATTCTTAGTGTCACTGATAACTCAGTATATATGGTGCAATCATCCCATAAAGATTATTGTGAAGCGTTTAGTAAGTCATAGAATGATTGCGATTCATTATTCAATGTATCAACTTCATGTTGAATGCTCTCAACAAATTGAGCTCTCTGGGCATCATGATTCATTTTTTCATAAGTAC